TGTGTTTATAATCATTTCATGTTTTTAGACTTCTTTTCTCACAGCGGTATGTCTGCGGGATTACAACGCTAAAAACCGGGTTTCGATACCCGTGATGGCCAGAACACAGATAGCCCATTGCATAGCTTTGTGCTTAACTACAAACTAACTAATTAACTAACTCCATATCTTTAAATCTAAATACAATATTTCCATGTTTTGTTTAGTAGGTTTTGTTTTATTTCTGTCCAACTACATAATACAACAACAACAACATTATTTAAAGAATTAATCTACTTCTATTCTATATAAATGATACGTTATCTGTCCGAATATTTTCGCGCACATTTCTCGATCAAACGCTAGATATCTCACACCGATAGAAAGGTCTGCTGGGCGTGAAAATGATAGGTTAAGGAAAATTCGAGCGAAAGGCATGAAAACTATTGCACGTTTTGCGGGTCGCGGGCTGGTATATATAGTAATCCATTTAATAATGCTGCATATATGAAAAAAAATCTTTGGTCTTTGGGCTCATATGGCAAAACCCATGTTTCGTATGCGGGAGGTCGAGGATTCAATCTCATCTATATCCATTTTTCATTTTTCTGAAACAGTGTCAAATAATTTTAGTGCGTACATCGTACGCGAAGCACGAGTTTATTCCCTAATGAAAAATTAATCAACGAAATTAAAACTCGAGCATCAATGCTTCCAATTGAGATTCACTTAAGAAAGAAAAATGTAAAATTTATTACACTGCTTTACTAGAGGTTATTAAAATCCAGTTTCAATTGTACTGAACGAATGTCCCCCTCCCAATGACAAATTAGTAAGTTTGCGGACTTAAAACGCTAGAAACCGGGTTTCGATACCCATGGTGGCCGCAGCGCAGATAGATAGCCAATTGTGTAGCTTTGTGCTTAACTACAGACAAACTGAACTAATATTACGTCATCTCTATTGTTAGTTCTCTCATTTTTCAGGGTATGTAACTATTTTTTTTTTCATGTGACTATAAAAAATAAGTAAATTGCTAAATAATAATTTTATTCCAGCAATAAGTCACTTGGCTCACCTTATAAATTTGTTTGTTTCTGATATTTGCGCAAATCTACAATTTAAGGTGTATTTTCGCTAGCCGTCCCTAATTTTGACATTAATAGACTAAATAGAAGGAAACTAGTCAAAGCATCCACTGTTTGGTTATTCTAATCGAATAGTAGGATTTAATCATCATTCTTACAACACACCTACGACCTCAATGTGTGTGACACGATATTGTGGCAGTGGAAAGCGAATCATCGCCTTATAAGTAAAGTTACATTCGTACAATATAAGTTATGGTAATTGGGATAATGGATTTGTTCGCACATCTATTAGGACAGTAACATGATACTGCGACTGTATTACTAACATATACAGATACTCTAATCCGACCCGTAAACCCTATTAATAAATTGTTATTAGTGTAGTAATAGCAAATTCAGGCACGCTGATCCCACTTATCACCCATGATCAAATGTAATAATATAGCCACTGCAATGATATTACATCTATTCACTTACATTAATATAAATAACAGAACAACTGAATTCTAATATCATTATTCTACGAGTTCCATAAGTCGTTATTGTACTTATTTTTGGTATACTCAGAATATGGTTGAAGATACCGAAAACGGCTAGAGTACCCAAATAATGATTTTCAATGCATTATAATTTTTATAAGTTTTTTGTTTTATAACATTGTATATTACTAGTTAAACTGGCACATTAATTAGCTAAGTTAATTTTTAGTTGTGATCTATATTGGTAAGCTTGTTTTGATCAAAGATTATTGATAATCTAACATTTTATAAATTCACTTTCAGTGTAAATAATGATGCGATATACACGAACCAGTATATTTTTACGTTCCGATAAATGTGAGTACAATTTATATGCTTTCAAGCTTTAAAATTTTGAGTTAATATGATCCAACGTTACAAATTTTCCAGAAATTTGAAGATCGAATGAATATTTAGCCTTGAAGAGAATGAAAATCTGGTTCTAAAAATACTGCTAACCTCTGCTATAATTGCTCTATAAATATGGTAGTAGCCACAGAGGCAAGTGATAGTAAGCTTGCATACCTGGAGCCAGAACAAGTAAACTTTTTCCGAAAATGTAAACTGTCTAGTGACCTCGAACACCATGTAGGCTAAACAGTTATATGATGTTAATCTGACATATAGAACCATCATGTTTTGTCATTAGTGTTATGAGCTGTCTATTCAGCTCTATTCGAACAGTTAAATACATAATACCAGCACACACACGCATACAAGAAGAATCGTGCTACACAGAACACACGTTCTTGTTTACTGAAACAAGAAACTGTTATCCTCTCCTTGAATATTTTTTTTGATTACACAGATTAATAAACTACTTTTTTTCGCCGTAAATAACCCACGAGAAAACAACCATCCATTATATAAGTGAATATAGCTCAGTAACTTAAATCGTCTTGAAACATTGAAATACTTTGTTTGATTGAAAGGGTAGTAGTAGAAGTATTGATTTCTAAACCGAGACTAACTCAACAAACAGCAAACTTAACCATGTTGCTCATTAGTTGAAATATGCCAATATTTGACAGAGCTTGGATAAGATTTTTATCAGCCAGTGATGCCCCGTCAAACGGGGATCTATCAGGATCTAGGGTACACTTTTTGATCTTTTTTTTTATTTACTTCGGAAATAGTTTTTGTGATTCTTTCTACAGTCTGATCAGACCAGTCAACTATGTTACAGAATAATGGTTATGAGATCAGGTACAATGATACTGCTACAGCTACAATTATGTAAATCCATAAACGAGTTTAACGTTTTGTGGTTCAATACAGGTAGCCCAATCAAATAAAAAGTTTTCGGATCAGATGCAGCATTTTGTGTGGTTGTCACACTGGATCATGCATCCATCCAGCTTAACGTACAATCAATATCCTCAAGAGTACGTAGATCAATATCTAGTCAATCATCCCAAAATAATCTAGATTAAAGAATAAAACTGTGTATCCACAATTATATATATATTAAATATATATATATATATATATATTAACTCCTTAGTGGTTAGACCTATGATATACTTTTTTTAGATCAACGAATAGTTAATCTTATCAACAGTTACCAGACTTAACAAAATTACTGATGTAACTAAGCAACATTTCTTCATACTTCGTGTGTAGACGAACAGGATTTTGTGGCAGTAAAGTTTGAAATAAGCATAGCTAAATAATGTTGATGCTGCAAGTATTGTTTAAAGAAGCCACAAATACATACAATATTAATATGTATCGTAATCTCTGCAAACTAAATATACTGTTTACCGCTATGAATTGGAGGGACAAACGTCCTTATAGTGTCTAAATTCGGTTACCCTTGATATTCTTAACTTTATTTTTTTACCGTATTCCCTTGCACCATATTAAAGGTAATTGAATTAAAAATATATCCATCAAGAAGGAGGAGGATATTAAACTGTAGCGTAGCAACTGAGATATAAACCCATCGCCAACTCTCAAGTTATTCTCGCCTGACTGAATAGTGGGAGTTGACCATCACTCTTATAATGTACCCCCGCCCCAAAAGTGCGGAGAACATTTTGGAAGCGAACGGCCCTTGAAACATGAATTCTCGGATCTACAGTTCAAGAACGTTAATCATAGGCCACACCCGTTTCCTATTAAATCTACCTTTGAATATTCTCGTAACCGTGAAGAAACCAAACTACAAATGTTTGTCAGACGCTTTTTGTGCTTCATTTGTGTAATCATCATTACAGTCTGATGTCACATTTATTTACAAAGTTTTCAAACTGCACCTTGCAGGATTCCATTTAAAAATATAATTAATCGAAATAATAAATGGTTGATGATATGAAAGTTTTGTATTTATGAACAGAAGAAGAATAAGGTGAAGATGTAAACCTTTATCCTTAAATGATGATTGATGCTCTTTTGAGGAAGAGTTCTTCACCTGATTTCTTTGACAAAACTTAATTCCATCCCGCTTTTGGCTTGTAATCGTTTATAGATATGTATAGTCTGTGAAACTGTCCTAATAGGCTTTTTGTTTTGTCAGTTCAGTCAAACATACATGAATGTCATGCACAGAACGCCTTCCGGTAGTAACAAATCTTAAGTATATGTTAAAAAAGTGAATTCTCTGCCTAGATTTTCTGTGAATATATAACAATGCCCTCTAACGTAATTGTGATGGAGCTTCCTTAACGACGTTTACTTGGTGACATTTAGCAGTATCAAATATAAGGAGATTAATATATATAAATTAAACTAGTAAACCAATCATGTTTTTACATCCTCGAAAAACGCCAAAGAAGTATTATAGACTTGGATTACTTTGTAATTCTGTAATCTTAAGGGCAACAAGAATTACTTGTGTTTAATAAACAAAATTTGGCATTGCTCACTTGACTTTGAAATTTGAACTTTAAGTTTATATAGCAGTAAACTATGAGTTTTATAATGTATCACTGGCCTAAAGTTTGGTATTTAATTCAGTTATGAAATGACCGCCTCTTTTTTTTCTAAAATCAGGCTTTCACTAGCCTTCAGATTCGGTTAAATTTAAACTAAGGTTCAACAACCTCGTCGTAATATTATGATCTTCCGACAGTGTTACTGGAAACAAGATTATGCAATTTTCATGCACCTGTTTAATTAATTCCACGTTAACCTTACTTTAGGGTCGCGGGTTGCACAACTAATACTAGTATTCAAAGTTCCGAGGAGACAAAAGTATGATAGCACAGCTGTGTTTAAGGAGTAAAGTTCTGTAAAGAAGAATCGCAATTTTATTAGACGCACTGCAAGCACGTGGGTTGTTACGTCACACTGATCCGGCATCAGCTAAGGGTTAAAGGGCCATGCCTCGCGAGTTACTATTGCTTCCTGGACTATAGGATCACAGGGATATCTGACTCATGTGGTGCAGCCGTCAAGCGTCTATTTAGGAAAGTTGTTTATTTACTTAAACTGTTCTCAGATTTGTACTAAGGATTTACTGTGAAGATGAGTGAAGAGACTAGGGACATTGTCGGATCCCCAAATGAGTTTACCACGTTGGGCCAGGGATCTCCTACTTCAGTGTGCAGTGCTCCAGAGTTTACAATCTTAGGAGCTCACAAACGAACTATCAGTCGGCGTCGCATCAGCTCACCTTCTGGAAGTGGAGATCGGGAATACGGACTGGATGAAACTGTCAACCCAACGTATAACTCAACACCTAAAGAACAGAAGGTACCTGCTAGCAGCAAGAAAATGCATACAAAGTCTGTAAATGTCAGACGTTCTCAGTCCGTGAAGGCTACTCGTCGGACTGAGCCGCCACAAGAACGAAGTTTCTTCCGGGAACGGATGCTCAGTGTTCCGGAAAGAAAATCATTCTCTTCTGCAGAAAATCTCCATTTTAGTGGTTCGAACAAACGTACTTTCCTCGATCCAACAGAAGATACAGAGTACGAAAGGCTGCGGAATTTTTCCGTCACATCCAAAGGGGTCATCAATAGGGGGGATTCATTTCGATCCAGATCTCGTAGCTTTCGGTATTCACAAAATATTTCAACTCCAGCTTCTTCGGAGACTGAACACACTTTCCCAGAAAACTGCCTCCCTCCCCCTACGATGACTTCAACTAGAGAGAGAGTATCAGTTTTGGTCGTCGGCTGCCCGGATGTAGGGAAATCTTCACTGACCAATCAATTCAGCACCTCCGAATACATTTGTACTTACGATTGTTCCTTGGGTAAGTCCTATGAATGTAAGATATGAATTTCTAGCCTGTTAATATGTTTATTACATTACTGTTTATTTATATGATTTAACCTATGAAATGTAATATTTTGACATACTTTTGCTGATTTCAGTTTTTAAACTATTTCTCTTAGGGATCGTATTTATCAGCTAGAGCAGCTGTAATTACGGATTCTAGACTCATACTCAAAACTATTAGATTTCAGTTAACGTAAGATACAGAGAAATTAATCAACGAAACACCAGGATATTTAGAAAGATTATTCGTTTGTTTATTTTTTTCTTGATAAGCACACAAAGCTACACAATGGGCTATCTGTGTGGCGCCCACCGAGGTTATCGAAACCCGGTTTTTAGCGTGATGAGCCTTCACACTTACCTCTGAGTCAACGGGGGGGGGGGGAGTCCAAGGGCAAAGCTACATAACGGGTTAACCGATATTTGTCTACCGCGGGGTATCGAACCCAGGATTTTAGCATTTTCAATCTGTATTTTTTACTGACCCATTGGGAAACTAGAAATACGAAATTTCTTCTTTAACTGAAGTGTGGAAATCGCCATTGAGAAGGAGAAAGTTTCCATAAACGTTTTATCCGTAAAGCGAATAAAAAATACCAGCAAATTCTGTGTTTTACGATAAAAATATTCTTGTAAAGTTATATAACTATGCAATTTAACGACAAACAGTCTAGAAAAAGTGGACATACGAATTTTTTGTGTTCATATACTTGAGAAAGGTTTGCTTATAACGGCGGCAGGAAAATATTATTATATTAATTACAAACAAACAAACATCTTATGATTTATGATAATTGTTCTCAATTTCAACTTATACGTTTTGTACTTTATTTAGGGTGTTTTATAAATTTCCCATGTGTATTTTTAAAGTTTCATAATTAAAATCACCAGCCAAAACGTCTTCTTTGTTATATACAAAATATTTGTATGACAAAAAAACCTCTGTTATTTCATTTTTGAGTTAATTTATCTCTGTGGTAAAATAAAAATAATAAATGTATGATATTACATTTTTATTTTAGCAGAAAGGCAGCTACCTAGCGGCCATAAGACAAAATAAAAAAAACCAGATACTTGCTGTAACAACGAATCACTTAGTTTTAACATTTAAACCAAATTCATATAAATGGCTATATGACAAGAAATTTAATAAATCAAAAAAGAGAGGTATTTTAGGTATTCAAATGAAAATTTCGTTTTTGTTTTGATTTCATAAAATTGAAAAGTGTCTCTGTTTAATTTTATTTTTTTTGCCGTTTCTTGTCAAAATTAATGAGTGATTTTGTTCAAAGATTTTTTTTTGATCTTAACACTTTTTCGTATATAAAATGGAGGACAAGGTCCTATGCACATTTTGTACGATTTCTCGAAAACATTCTATATAACGATATTACCTTATTCATTCAGGACTATATATATAAATATATTTGCATATTTTGTTTCCCTTGTATAACTAAGCGCTCTACGTTTACTTATTTTGGAAACAAAACGATTAACACTGTCTGCAGTCTACAATTAAGTTTTTGCCTATAAGCGTTATCCAAACAAACCCAACGACCCAGATAAAGTAACTCAATAGATAAAACTATTGAAACGTGCCTATAAATAAATATTGTCATGAGCACTGTAGCTAAAATTATGCTAAAATGTGCTTATAGTTAAACACGTAAATAAAACGTTTCAGTTAACAAAAGACTTGATTAAAACGTTAGATATGTGTATCTGGTTTACATTTTTGTAGCTTACGTATTGAACATATTCCTGGAAGACCAACACTATTTTTTATTTTTATAGAGGAAAAGAATGAAACGTCAGTTACGGTTGTGTTAAACGAAGAAGAATCTGACTTGTTGTTCATTGAGAAGACCGTTACTTCAGATACGGTGGGTGAATATTCAAATACTCCTTGTGTCAAAAACAAAACAAAAACAAGATATGTTATTTTCTTTCATACCCGGAAAAAGTTACAACAGAGGTAAACTAATGACAATATATACATATATAACAATACAATTAGTTTAAATAAATGATGTTAAAGAGTCACAAATAAAAATATTTTAAATACAAATAGGAAATAATAAACCTCTAAATATTAACGAACACTTTTTCAAAACTATTCTCTACAAATGTTTACCACTATCTCAAATATGATTCAATTCTTTGGCAAAATTAGAATGTTTATTAGTTTTTAGCTTAAAATACGTATTCTGATTCTAAAGTGTGTATTTTTGAGTAGTAATAGTCAAAGTAAAATAAAAATGTTGCCCCACAATTGTGCAGGTCACATCGCTACTAAATCTGTCTGTTGCATCCTACGTCGTCGTTTATTCTGTGGTTGACAGAAGCAGTTTTCAATGGGCCAAGAACTTTATCAGCCAAGTAGTGAAATGTGTGGACACGATGAACAAGGCTCTGATATTAGTGGGAAACAAAACCGACTTAGTTCGGCTCAGAAAAGTCTCTCCTGAAGGTTTGTTGCACTTTCAAAACTGTGGTTCTAATGTATATATATCTGTGTGTACACGAAATGCATAATTTATCTTAACTACGAAGTCACTGAAATATAAAGACATGCTGTGCCACTAAAACTCCTTATGTTATGAAGTGTTATCATACGGTTTGTAGTAACCATAAGGTGTTGATACATTGGGAGTAATTTATATATAAGTAAGCCATCAGATTGATCAACTATGTTTATACCTAACTTTTCCTTTTTAAAAAAAACATTCAGTGTTGTCTCTTAGTTGTTGTAGCTACAAATGAAAAAAAACTTTCCTGGACATCATATCTTTCTATCACGTTTTATAGCTAAATCCATTTCACATTTAAGTTTGACCCCCCAGTGACACAGCGGTATGTCTGCGGACTTACAACGCTAGAAACCGGGTTTCGATACCCGTGGTGGGCAGAGCACAGATAGCCCATTGTGTAGCTTTGTGCTTAACTTCAAACAAACAAACATTTAACTTTTAAGAATTTCGAAAAATCTATAAAATATCAAAACACCTTCATACAGCTTTCTTCTTCTTATTTATAAAAGTAAATAATTGTCCGTAAAAAAATAACAATATTACTTTATGTGTATTTATAAAAGTAAATAATTGTCCGTAAAAAAATAACAATATTACTTTATGTGTATTTATAAAAGTTTAGGCTGCATCGAATAATACATGAAAAAAAAATATCCAAGTTCTGTATACGTACGGTTTAGGAGAATGTCAAGTAGATACGATTTGTTACAATAACAAGTAGAACACTGTAATGTAAACTACTTCCGTACGGTTTAGGAGAATGTCAAGTAGATAGGATTTGTTAAAATGACAAGCAGAACACTGTTATATATACTACTCCCGTACGGTTTAGGAAAATGTCAAGTAGATAGGATTTGTTACAATGATAAGTAGAACACTGTAACATATACTACTCCCGTACGATTTAGGAAAATGTCAAGTAGATAGGATTTGTTACAATGATAAGTAGAACATTGTAATACATACTAATCCCGTACGGTTTAGGAGAATGTCAAGTAGATAGGATTTGTTACAATGACAGGTAGAACACTGTAATGTAAACTACTTCCGTACGGTTTAGGAGAATGTCAAGTAGATATGATTTGTTACAACAACAACTAGAATACTGTAATATATACTACTCCCGTACGGTTTAGGAGAATGTCAAGTAGATATGATTTGTTATAACGACAAGTAGAACACTGTAATATAAAACTACTCCCGTACGGTTTAGGAGAATGTCAAGTAGATATGATTTGTTACAACGACAAGTAGAACACTGTAATATAAACTACTCCCGTACGGTTTAGGAGAATGTCAAGTAGATATGATTTGTTACAACAACAACTAGAACACTGTAATATATACCATTCCTCTAAACAAACAAGAACAATAATAAGTTTGGTCGGATAATTCTCTCTGTAGAAATGCATTGTCGAAGACAAAATCCTGTAGGCTAAATTTTTAAACGTTTATAATCTTAGATACGAGCTGGAAAAATTATTTTCGTGTAATAACGAACGCTGTTTTATAACTGTATAAATCAGGTAATTACTGTAACTTGATTAAAGCAATATAAATAATATTTACATCTAATTAAGCTTATTATTCATATTTTCCTTCCCCCCCCTTTTTTTTTCCTTCAGAAAGTCGTTCAGTGGCAGCTTCCCATGGCTTCAAGTTTATAGAAATTTCAACTGGCATTAATCACAACGTTGACGAGCTGCTAGTTGGTATTCTTAACCAGATCCGGCTAAAACGCCATCGTGTTGAAGAAATGAAGAGCGGTGCTGTGGTACCTGAGAACACTGAAGGGCGATTTATAGGGTGCACTGGTTGGCGTACTAAATCTATTATCAAGCGAATTTTACGAAGATCTCGTATGAGAAGGTCTTCTTCGTGTGACAATTTTAATACACTTTGAAAAGAATACAAGAAATAGACGCTTATGTTGGATTTTAATAGATATGTTAATTTATTACAGTCCTTTGGAATAATAGCGTCCTTTTGTAGTAAAAACTCATTTATCTTTAAGGTGAAGTTTAATTGTAAATTTCAATCTTTAAGAATGCTTTTATTGTTCTTTTGACTTTCATAAGCAGTTGGTTAGTTTATCCTTAAGCTTCAACAGGCGTTGTTTTTTGTTCATATAACACTGTTTATACCCACATCTGAGCGAATAAGATTCTATTGTAGACCAACAACTGCAATACTGCACACTTCTGTGTTAACTACTGTTGTATCTAGAAGAATTATGTTGCACATTGTTTTCAGGTCATAGTTTTATTTTGACCTACGTTATACTGCGACCTGCAGGTAGTTACTTTACCTACACACTTTAAACATGGACAAGAGTTACGATAGTATAATCTAACAGATGCGTATCTTTTGAAGAGAAATATTGAAATGTCAAAAGCTCAAAGATACGACTTAAATAGATACGCCTTGAAAGGAATTAATCGGATTGTTCTTACGTGACCTTCATATCATACCTTCAAGTTTTATCTTATGAAATGATTTAGTTTAATGAATAAAAATTACAGTTTTAGCAATGTTAAGTTATAAGTGGCCTTCATTTGGCTAACAGCCAAAATCGTACAACTGGTCCATCTCTAGTTTATTTTAGTTAGTTATATAGAACTTCTCTGTCGTACACTAGCATTAAGTTTACTTGATGTAAATGTGATCATTTCACATTTTCCATATATGCTTTTGCAAATCAAATAATAATTTTGTTATTTTCTTTTTTTTAACGATAGCAGTAGTTCTGATTGAGCTACTCCAAGGGTCAACAGGAAAATATGAAACATTTCTTTAGAGTACGAACGTTTCAAAATTATATGTTGGATTAACGTTGTAAGAAATAGTTCTGTATTCAGTTGTGTGAATCATTAATCACAAATATTTTGCTTCGATAAGAATTAGAACACTCTTTTTATAGTAGTTAATCGTATATTATAGAGTCCAACAGGTAATCATAACTCACAAAATTGGCTGGACCAATCCTATAGAAAAATGTACAGAATATTTATTTAGAAAATACCAACTCATATGATTAAGTTTGTACAAAAAATGGACTGTTATAGTGTGTGTGTTGCTACAAAATATTTACATATTTTTCACGATACCACCACAGACTTGTGACTGTCGTAAGTCTAATGATCTCTGGTGGTTAGGAAGTGAATATTCTTCTGGATTTTTTGTTCATTTATGATGCAGGAAGTTATTATTTTTTCAATTTGGGTTAAATATTTCAGTCATATGATATGTTTTTTTATCTGAACATTTATTTTGTTGAGGTAAGATGAAACAAACTTTTATCATAAGTATTTTTTCTTATCGAGTCCCAGTATTTGATGCATGTTTGGAGCACTTGAGAGACGTTTCGATAGTCTTTACATACGGTAAGTTGTTTGTAGCTTGAGATTAATCTCAAACATTTTTTGTTCTTTTGTAATGAAATTCAGTTGTGAGAAAATAAATGTTCTGAATTAAATCAAATGGAGCTTGTTGTTTTTCCGGTATAACGCAGTACAGTTTCCTCTTAAACATTTAAAACTAAATTATTGCGCAAGAAGCACAACGTGGAAACAGAATTCTTCGTAAAATCGGACTCATAATTACTGCAGAATGTAAAAATAGTAAGGATCTCTTAATTCTATCATTGAATTAACAGTTGCGACTTTGGACTCTTTATGCTTACTTTGAAATTACAGTAAATTACAAAAACAACAATGTAACTGGATGCGTAAGATTACTTCGTTTGTAAGTACATTTCGCAAAAATAAAATTGAATACCATCTACAAACAATCTCCCGCTACACCAAAACACACACACACAGTTGTTATTGTGGGTTTAAAACGGTAAACTTGTTGGGATGATCTTAATTTACAGAAATCTTGTAATATGTGTCACGTAATAACGCTCGAAATTACGAACATCATCATGCTGTGTAGTGTTGAACACACACTTTTATTGTACGAATTATACAAACAGAATTTTATCACTGTTGCTAAAAGTATTATCATTTCATTAACTTTTCAACTTTATAATTTAGGACAACATTAATTGTTTCTCGGAAGCATTTTGGTTTTGATATGCAGTCGAACTTTTGATATAGTTAAGCGTATCAGTTCAAAGGATGCTGCTGAATATCAGAAGTCAGGCAGTATTTAAGTTTGAACATCTACTAACACCACTACCTCAAGTCTTTGTTAAAAATACTTTTTGTTTTAATAATAAACATTTTTCTTTAAAGAGAAACGTAAAACTTTTATCCTATGTATATTTGAAACGTCTGAAACAACTTATTCATAAAATGTTTATTTTCTTTTCGGTGGATAGTAGAAGGCTCAGTAGCTCATTTAGTAAGACGTTAAAAATCAATATATTAATATATTTTATTTGATTTATTATCACGCTCTAAATTACTAATATGGATTTATATATTATATTGACCTAAAACTACACAACACGTGACATGATTTTTCACGGTAAGCCTAAAACAGTATATTTTTTTGTTGCTAAAACCAATTTACGAAACAACGACTTAAATATCACCGAGAGCTGGGGATGATAAGCAGTTAGGATATCCGAGTTCAAGTCCCGTTGCCGGAAAAAAAAACGTGGTACATACTTTGGATCTGTGCGTGCGTAATAAGAGTGATGGTCAAACCGCACTATACGGTCAGACAAGAGTTGACGGTTGGTGCTCTGAGTTGCTGCCTTCCCTCTAGTCTATCAGTTCAGAGTTAGGGACGGCTATGCGCAAATAATCCTTTTGTAGCTTTGCGCGAAAATTTTAAACAAAAAGAGAAATTGTTCAGGAACAAAAGTTGAACATATATATGATGAACAATTTTTGATAATGTCTTATCATAATAAATGGTATTTTTCATTTTTAGTAACAGTACATATATTATACATTTTCAATACCTAATTAAAAAGAATTCTCTAAGAAGTACAGTCACTGTTGGACGATATTAACAAGTCACCAGTGTCTTAGTATTTTGACTCATGTTTCCTGCTATTCTTGTATTTTCATATATCGTACCATTACCGTAGGGAGCAATTTTGGAATGGTCAGGCTATTGCCACAGCTAAACAATGTGACACACGACGTGTGAAAAGAACACTACTGGCATGCAGAGCATGCCATTTCTAGGGGGTGTCTGGGGGCACGTCACCCCAAAAAGTATTTAATATTTGATGCTATGAAATAGAATCTTGAGCCATATTAACTACAGATACTGTATACTCATAACGTAACATACTGAATAAAAGAAGCAAATTCTAATACAAGTTGTAGCTATACATGCCAGGAAGAAGTGGTCAGGCTATAGTCTGAATGACCTTACCGCCTCCTACGGCCCTGAGTACTATTATCCAGAAGGGCCTGTCTGGTGCGACACGTTTTTAAAAGACGTAAATTTAATCTTCGCAATGCAATAACAGAACTTTTTCTGCTTTATAAAACATTCATATGAATCAAAACTAACACTGTTAGATTTTTAATATAATATATTTTCAACTAAAGATTAATCCAGTTTAAGTTTTAACATTTTATTTTTCTGGTTTCTCTTTCAACGCGTCGCAGTGGCTACGATTATAGATTTAGACGTTCAGTTATTGTGAAACTCGTTTTAAAAATCAAATACATGTTCAGGGCCTTCTTATTCAAGGCAGTAGAGGTAGATACACATGGAACAATTTTTGCTTGTTTGTAATTAAGCACAAAGCTACACAATGGGCTATCTGTGCTCTGCCCACTACGGGGATTGAAACCCGGATTCTAGCGTTGTAAGTCCGCAGACATGCCGCTGTGCTTCTGGGGGGGGGAATGGAACAAGGAAATAAATGGTGTCTCATAATTTTAAGCGCTGACGTATAGAGCCACACATGGAACACTGTGTAATAAAGTATTATTTATTTTATACATATAGCTATAAATAAGTCTTATCTTTTATTTAGTTATTTATTGAAACTACTTTTTACACACCTAACTAGGTTGTATGGTAGGTATATTGTTAAAGTTAATTATAGCATTCTGTAAACATATACTTCATCTGGAATCTTCCAAAGGAGTCACTAAGTTTTCTGGTTGATTAACTTTTCTTTTAAAATTAAATTTTCCGAAAGCTTTTTATTTAACATTTACAATGACCCATTACTAATAATAATTACGAGTGAAGTCACCTCTAAAAATAATTTAAAAACTTTATGAGCTGACGATAAGGACAAACTTTTTTTTTTTTTTTGCAAAATAAATCTAGTACTGGTCACGCATGACTTACTGGTTTTTTTAGTCCAGGGTTCAATACCTTATGCTACTGAAAACACTCCGAGCTTTCAGTTATGGGCATATTAGAAAAGTCACAATCAATCTCCTTATTTGGTTGAAAGAACCAGACACAAGGCTTGTGGCGGTTGGTGCTGCTGACTGGCTGCCTTTCTTCTTATCGGTTATTCAAATTAGGGGTTGTTATTTACCTAACCGTTTAGCCCATGTGTACATAAGCTACTAATTAGGTTGAAAATTTTAGCTCTAAGCTCTGTATTCTTCGGCAATGTGAAAACAGTTAAGTTATATAAAGATGCAAAGCGCCCTCTAGTGATTGTATCTTAACTGTTATATTTGTTTGTTGAAATCATTACAGCTGCATTGAATACTATATAGGTGAAGTTATAATTCACAGATGGGCATTTTCCCTTAGGTTATATTTTCTCATGAAAAGTTTAGTTTGAAAATTATATATGAATTAAAAGTATTTTTTGTTTGTTTTGGAACCTGAGGTGCTATACAAATCAAAGGTCACAAATAACTTTTCTTTTTATAAAATATAATACGTTTATGATTTATTAAACGTTTTCTTTGAACTATTCCAAACTTCCTGTATTTAGTTAAAACCTTCTGGATAAACAGCCTATTTTAATATTTTGATGTCTTTCAACCACTAGTTAACGCACACGATAGTGTGGATTTAGCTAAGTTTAGTATAATGTGACGAATCATTTTTGATTCAGAATAAATTTAGAGAAAACAGACGCCCTTACGTTTGTTCAAATTTTAACTGTTTACTCAGAATGTTTAATATTCGTCTTATGCTCTAAACTTGGTTTACCTTTAATCTTGTCTGTGCCATCTCTTTCAACGTGTCGACTTTGGTCTTGTTCGACTTACTTGCTATAATTAGCTTTTATTGTAAACTGGCCTAAATCATGCGCTTGCATGTAAAGAGTTAGAGGTTTAACATGGTGTTCTTTCGTCGGTTTAAATATGATTTAAAATTGGTTTAACTATACGGCTCGTCAAAATCTACGGGAAAAAGTAGATTGTAGGAGCGGTAATTCGAGTAAATTTGTTTTAAAATGGATGTTTAGACAATAAACAATTGTTGTTTGAATTTCAGGACAGTCGAATTTTAAATTACGCATTACCTTCTTTATAGTGGAATATCTTTGTTAATTTTACGAACAAGTAAGTTTTTTATTGATTTTATTACAACAAAAAATAAACTTTCAAAATATAAATTCCAACATTGGGATGTGAATGTACATTACATGTTATATTAGCATCTTCAATTATCCAGATTTTTTCTTGTAAAATACCATTACATGTTATATTAGCATCATCAGTTATCCAGCTTTTTTATTGTAAAATATCATTATCTGTTATATTAGCATCTTCAATTTTCCAGTTTTTTCTTGTAAAATACCATTACCTGTTATATTAGCATCTTCAATTTTCCAGTTTTTTTTTCTTGTAAAAAGCATTATCTGTTATATTAGCATCTTCAATTATCCAGCTTTTTTCTTGTAAAATACCATTAACTGTTATAATAGCATCTTCAAAAATACCCTTACTCGTTACAACATGATTTTAAAATTATATCAAGATAATTAAAGTAACCATTCACGCAAAAAAGAAAGAAGACACATTATTCATTCTAAACACCTGTAATTGTGCTCTACACAGGCGCATTCTGGAAATTGAAACGAAAACAGTTCTTAAATTGTACAACTGTTTAAAGTAAGTAAAGATAACGATAGTAAACAAGCTCTAGAGCAGTTATTTAGTGCTTTAGTAAATATTTGTTGCAAATTTCTTTTGAGGTAAAAAATATGGACATATATCAAAAGAGGCGACAATTAAGCGTTTCGGTAATGTCTCATATTTTCCGGGACACAGCAAAGGAAAACAATACTTCCATATAAAAATCGGGATGATTGGTCGTTTTAAAAAGTAGCGTGAACATGATGAAAATACCTGTACAAAGAGATACACGTAAGAAATAGCATCATTCTTAATTTTTGGTTTACATTGGTTGATTTTTTGTTATCTACGCTGAAACTTATTGAGCTTGAAGAATCCGTAGCTTGGTAAACAACAGCGTTGTGTGTTTCGTGCTACAAGATCTTTCCTTGGTTTAAAGCATACTCTAGTACTGGCAGTTTGCATTTTGGTTTAAAGTATATCCTATACC